TTGAGCAAGTTTTGGCCAACAGACTTGTCACCGTTAACCCAATGAACACGGGGTGGCGACATGGTAAGAAGATTTCCAAGTTCAGAGGGCTCACTTTCACCAGGCAATTTTTTCTCATTTCGGGAAGTTGCTGCGTGGAATAACCTTTCTCAGAGGGCTGTCTGCGCTCCGTCTATAACCCAATCCAAACCACTATTTGGCACTTTTATGCGGGTCCTTGCGCTGGCAAGCATACTGCCATGCGCTGAGAGCCTAAAGTGTGGTGCTGCATTATCTTCGCTTGTACCTTTCAGGTGAACGGCAGCCGCCGAACAGCAAGAACAAAACCGATTCGGGAATTTTTGGCGAAAGCCACGATCCGTATTAATCCTTGAATACCTGAACGCCAATTTTTTCTCCACACCACGTTTTTGGGGAATATGCATGGACCAAATGAGGTTGGCTATACGAGAAGTTTGAAACATTTTTCGGTCTCAGTCTATTAGCCTCCGCCACATATTCATGTATAAATTTACATAGCACATTGCAAGTGTTCACTGAACTTGTCAAAGCTGAACTTGGTATAAAGGGAAAATGAAAGAGCCACTTTGTTTCAATTCACAAACTGTAAATACCGGTGCAATCAACTGTTGGAAGTAAAAGGTACGAATACATCTGGTCACGTTGGTGTAATAAGAAGGGCTATAACAGTTCTCACAGAAGCCTCACCAAATAAACGATATTTTTGTGTATTCTGAACCGAAATTGGGGTTTTTTGCATCGTCTTGATGAATGTCGACACATCTGCTAAATAGTTTGTGATGCCATGGAAACATCCCGCAGGGTAACGATTATGGATATATACTCGACTTCTTACCAAATGGAGAATGCTTAAATTGAGCGGTGATTCTCCCACCCGCTCGTAGACCATTTACCGTCCATTTTGGACCGTACAACTGGTAATCGGTGCTGTGTCGACATACCACACACAAGGATCCTTGTAAGCCATCTGTCGCACTCGTACACTCTTATCAAATAGCGTATTCCAACACACATTCAAAGCATCTGTTCGGGTTATCCGGCTGGTAAGATGCATGGAGAAAGCAACGCAATGATGGATACCTGCTTTGACTGCCCATACTAACAAGACTCATCGGTGCTATTACCACAACCTCGGAAACAATTTTTCGTTAGTTTGTCACACGATACATACATACACACGATAAATACCTCATTTTCGACAGTATAGTCATACATAGTCACTGAATATCACTTTAGGTATCACTGATTTGCGTCAACAACACTCCCATCAAATGTATGTAAAGACCGTGTAAGTAGCCGGGGATTATATTAAAAAACCGTTACACCTTACGCAAAGACGGAGAGAGATTGGAACAAACGCTTAAAAACGCTGTTGTAGTGCATATTAACCAAATTAAGGTTCTATTTATCATTAAAATCTTACGGAGCCTTTCATGAGTTCCTCGTAGGTCACAAAAATGAAGAATCGAAAAGTTGTGGTAATAGTAATATTCCATCGGTACGCTATTAAGGATGTTCGAGAAGGCAAGCCGACGTAGTATGTCTGTTCTGTATTTCAGCTCTCTTCAAAGTGCATAGAAGCAGCCATAGTTAACCGGTTTACCTCAGTAGCTAGGAAGCATGCTTCACTACGAAAATTTTGTTGACCCCCACCTGCTTTGCACAAATTAAATAACCATCCAGGTCAGTACGCTCATCGACCGCTTCCACTCTCTGGTCTGTAAGCATGACGTGTGGGTTTGGGTCTCACCCGTTCTTGTTACAGTATTTACAGGGTATAAAGCACATGGACAGAATTACCAAAATCGACTGCATCGCTGAATAGTTTGAGACAAAAAAGAGAAATTTTGACCGCGTACTCAGTGCGAGCAAAGAGCTTGGCATATACTGCTTGGTCGCAACGGATTGTGGTGTTCAAAACGGAATAAGCTTATTGAAGAAATGCAGTTTGTGCAGGCTAACCTGTATTCGGCCTTGTTTGTGGATGAAGACTAACAATCATTTGAGTAGAGGAGTACAAAATATACGTAGAACCCTAAATGTTTACTCTCGCGTTGATTTTTGAAAACATCACCAGAATGGTCGCGCGAATTTTTGTGGCATGATTTTTGCAAAATTAACGGTCCAGTAGATAAATGATACCATCTTTTGTAACCTTGTCAACGCTTACAGGAAGCAGCGTTGTGGAGACTAGGCGGGCTTCTGCCGGTCACTAAGAGAATGGACCTTGCCTCAATGTGACTTTGTGTTTGTGTGATATATACTGGAGAGTGTTCGTGGAGTCTTTCATTCTAGATTGGTAAGTTTTGAGAGGTCTGAATAAGACAGTCTCCTAGTCCTCCATGTTTGGGTTTGGAAAATATATAATAAAATCCAGTGCACTAGCATTTATCTCAACAGAGCGCTGCCTTGCGGGAAGGATTAAAGACAAAGGCTTTGGTCGAGAACCGTAGTAGTTCAGTTGTCTAGATATGAGCACCTTGACAGTGTCCCAACCTATGTACAACCATGATTCCCGTAACCAGCAATTCTGCCTCATCCACACCGGCTGCCTTATTTGGCGCGCAAAGCAAGGCTGATAGGCGGAAACAGGTTATTTATAACGTCTCCGCTCTTTCACATGCCCTTACTCTCCATGATTCACGAAAACTCGGTCCCTGAAGGCCATCCATTAGGATTGACTACTCCGTCTTGCATCGGTCTTATCCGTGAAGTCTGTTCGTTAGCCGGTGCCGAGAGCCTCGTACACTTAGAAACCAATCTCCACTCCGTGACGTATGGTCTATATGGCCGCTTTTAGCCTATGTACTCTGAGGTAAGTAGAAAAATAAGCTGCTCATGCTGTCATGCTGTACTCGCTTGACATTGAAGTGTGATGTGCTTCAGAAAGAATAATTCAAGATGCAAGTAGAGTGGTTGAGCTAACTACTCCATCGTTCTCTGACCGCCTCTGGCTGTGCACCTTTGGTGATTCGGAGGCCGGTGCTTCAGGGTGTTCAGGGGTCGGTTTCTTTCTAAGTCATCGGGTGAAAGGATTCTTGTCGGGGGCGAGATGGCTCAAGTGGTTAGAGCGCGAATTTACTGACCGGAAGGTCCGTGGTTCGAATCCGACCTCCGCCACTCGATTTCCCCTGTCTAGGCTTGGGCAACCTGGCAGTATCCCAGCCCTCGTGCTTCCTTCGGGTGGCATGGCAGCTAGGCACCGGAAGGGTGCTACAGCTGAACGCTTTCTTTCTTTCTTTCTTTCGAATACCTGGTAATAATAGCCTCTGTGCTGTTTGTCTGGTAACGTCTGTGGAAAAAGTCTCAATCAGGAATTTAATCACTGTGTATTTGCCGTGCCTGCCCACGCCCCCACCGTCTGTAGTTGGCACTACCAAAAGCAAGTTGTATGACGCTTTTAATGTCCTGTTGCGGTGGAATCGTTCAGTTGTAGCACCTTACCACGCTTCCAGAAGGAAGCACGAGGGCTGGGATGTAGCCAGGTTGCACAAGCCTAGCCAGGGGAAGTAGTGAGGCAGGGGTCGGGTTCGAAACATGGACCTCTCGATCCGTGGAATGAAAGCTCAGATACCGTCATGGTTTCCGGAGGTCTGAATTCACAAGTTGGCAGGCTTAGTGCATCTGAGACTAAGGTGATCGATGTAGGTTGAACCCGTTGCGTACGGACAGTAGTGAACGGAGGCTTCAGCCGTGTGCTGACCCCAGATTGTTCCTATTCCGTACTTAGTTTCGAAGTAGCCGAAGTCCACCGGTCTCTGGTTCCCCCAAAAGGCGCGCCAGGCACGGACCCAAGTTGATCATGTCGCCATTAGTTACAGATGATGTGTATCAATCATTAGCTGCCGTTCTTTCTGGAACACTTGAGTGGGTTTAGGCCATGCGATTTTTCGGAATCGCTTTCCGTTTCCCTCTCCATGGCCTCTTAAGAGCTGGACAAGTGGCACCTGAGAGTTTGGCTGATCCTAAATTTAAACGTATTTATTAGAACCATCTTCTGGATTCTCTTCCAACTTCCCCACCGTCTTTTCACAGTGGCTGTGACTTGGTGACCCCAGCTTTAGCACTGGATATCAGGCAGAAGAGTCGCGGTGCTTTAATCTCGGAGATTAGTTCCCGCTAGTCCCGAACATAGTGTAGTGCCATAAATTAACAGCAGTCAAGTGAAACTCAGTGCGCACCCAGTGGACACGAAAAGCTGAGAATGTGCAAGACATCCGGAAGCACCCGAAGATTATTTCAGTTGATCTACGCGAGTGATCCCGGAAGGATCCTGTAAGCGGAACGATCCAGTATCAAACTGGCTCAAACGTCTTCAGCAAAGAAAGACGCCTCGAACGATGGGCCGGGCACTTTGGACAGCAATTCTCATGGCCACCTGCTGAAACCCAATTGGATCCTGGCATTGCTGATGAACCCTAGGCTGCGAATCCGAAAACCCCCACGTCAGCGGCAGCAAATAAGTGTAAATGTCCTTTGAAGCGCCACCGAGCTTCTGGTTCGGACTACCTCCGAACTGCGTTGTTCAAGGATGGAGGTGAAGTCCCAGTCAATTCAATTTATCAGCCAGTTGTCTGATCTATTTGCATCACCTGTAAAAGGGAGATTGTCTTAGACAACAGGAGAGAATTGATGATAATGCCCATTTAAAAAAGGGGGCCTGTGGTGAGTGCGGCAGTCACAGGGGGGTCAGCTTGAGCCCGGTTGTAACGAGATTCCCGGCGTCAGTTGACCTTCGTAACCTTATGGTGGCTCGTGAGACACTGACTCGAGAGCAGCAATTGGGATTTCAACCAGTAGGGCGTTGTGTTGACCGAATCTTTGCAACCCGTCAGGTGCTAGAACGATGCCATACGTACAAATAGCCAGCAATTTTAGTATTCTTAGATTCCCGGGGCGCATTCGACTCAGCTGACCAGCCTGTTCTTCTCCTTAACACATTTGCTCAGCAAGGAATGCCCAGGAAGTTTGTGAACATATTAAGTTTTATGTATTGTCATACTTTCGGGCGCCTGATAGTATGCGGAGATCTCTTCTAAAGCCTCTGCACGCAAAATGGTGTCTGTCAGGTGTGCCCACTTTTTCCAGCCCTATTCAATTTCGAATTAGTTCAGATTATGAGGCGAACGCTGGAAGGTCTCCAAAGCCATGGTGTCCAAATAGCTGCTGATGAAAACCTTGTCTATCTGGAATATTATGATGACATCTTGTCTTCGAAAAGAGGGCGTTTTTGGATGAACTGACCAAAGTCATGCCACCCTTTGTAATGCGCTTTGTATCCACAAATTGAAAAGCGGTGGTCCTGGACATGCAATCCTTCAACCGGACATTTTTAAATTCCTAAGGGGATTACTTAGAGTTTGAGACTTTTCGCTTAGCTTGGAAATTGTATCAGTTGTGGTGTGACAGATGGGGTCAACGCACGAATCTCTAAGGCTCGAGTTGCGTTGGACAACCGTTGTCTCAGAACCCTAATATGCGTAAGCTGGTACCGGTGAATTCGCAAAGAGACAATCAACAAACAAGTGTTCGGCTGTATAACAGGGGCTTCAATCGATCAACATGTTTAGCAGGAAAATCTGCGGTACTTTAGTCATGTATTGCATTCGCCGGTTCATCTTTACCGAGAGGAGTGGTGGTTTCAATGCTCAGTTCATAGTATGGCAAGCAATGATTGACCACCTGGAAGACGATTATAAAAGCGATAACGGAAAGTCCGCGTACTGTCGCTGCCACTTACCTTTCAGGGTGAGGTCCGCTCGATCCGCTTGTGCTTGGTTGGAGGCGCTGAAAGACATTGCTGCTAGTCAATGCCAGTGGTTCCCCCGTTGTCATTTTCAATCCAGAATGATTGAATGGGTGTTTACAGCTGTAGGTATCTCTGACTGAGCTGTAAGTTAGCACTGAGTTTCACCCAAATTAACTTTCCTTCTTTCCTTCACAATAGGACTTTGAAAGAGATTATGGTTTTCACGGCAGAGAAGAATCAGTGACTAAGTTTTGACGCTATGTTGTCGGTGATGATGAAGCTTCTGTCAAGGTGATGGTTCCATCGATCAAACAACACTCATAATACCGTCGGGGGTACAGAAAACTGACAACCACTGTATCCATAGATGTAAATGCAGTCTTCGACTCATTCCATCGTGAAACTTAGTGGGAGTGCTTCTCCTACAAGATAAACTTGTTTATCACACTTTCTCAATGACCGTTGATTTGTCCGCTGAGCTGGGTTGCACGCACCTCAACGCCGGCAGAAGTGACATTGCCGTCGCGAGTGGAAGCTTAGTTCAGGCTCTATATTAGCATTTGACCTAATAGCACCGTCTTTTGTGGGTTTGAAAAGATTTACTTTACACTACTTGATGGTGCTGAATCACCGCAGTGTTCGAGGTATTTTCCAAAGATTGCTGTATCTTGATTGAGTTGTCCATGTGCGCTAGACGTCACAAATACTGTTGTACGTTACTTCATTATTTAGTCATAAGTTTCTAACAACTCTCCTGGTTTGTTTTCATATTGGATACAGCAGGCACACAGAAGAATCACGGGCAATGTTGGTTCACTAAACACAGGGGCTTCACGCCAATTTCCGCAAATTGAGAGACGACGTAATAATGATAATAATGATCTATCAGCCCTAACACTTTTGATGTGTAGCCTTAATGCCTCATCAAGGAAGTACGTGGATTTAGATACTACCAACTCATTCAAGTCCAGAAATTAGCAGTCGATATTTCGTGTTGGGGTTCGAACCATAGAACTTCCGTTAATCAGTTTTTGCCTTATTCACCAAGCTATCTTGAGCTTGAAAGGAGGTGAAGCCTGACAAGCCAAGCAAAAGAATCACAGTACATTTACAGAAATCAAGCCACTGTAATTTCATTGTCTGTTGCACTAATCGGTAAGCTATCCGTTTCATGGCTCTCTGTAAGCACCAAAAATCAGCCATCTCTGCGGTTGTCCGCATCCTGTTTTCCAGCATGTACCTCGAAATAGCTCGATAATTGAGGCGCGAAGGTACTGATCGGGGACGTTTGTTGTTCAAATCCGACCTCTTGATCTCGACTGCTTCTGTCCGGGCTCGGACAACCTGACAGCATGCTGCTAGGCACCGAATGAGTTTTATAACTGAGGTTGGTCTCGTCATAGTATTCTAGAAAGTGAGATCCACGGCCCAAACCGTCGAAGTGTTCTGTGATGTTCGGTTGGAACAGAAACCGAGGTAGCAGTGCTTATGTAGTATTCTCATCAAACTTGCGAAGGTAAAGTATTTTGGGGTTCTCGCTGAGGACTTAGCTGACCAAAGTGAAGTGATTTCTTCAGAAAACAATGACTGTTCAATCGACACCAATTTTTTTTACCACTTTCATTCCCAAAACGACATGTATTTAGATTAGTAGGCAGCCGGCAGGCCCCACGTGAGGTTCGAACCCGGATCATGCTTGTACCCACCCAACTGCTCGAGCGAAAGTCGGATGTTCGGTTTATAAATACCCGCTTCCAAGTTTGCATAGTAACGCGCGTGTAATAATTTTCGAACGCACTCGCTGGTAACAGTGGCTATGAACTGCATGCCAGATGGGGCTCGAAAATTCGTTGTGATCAGAGGCTGTAATCCGCCCGAATTCGAGCCACAGAGAGCTAGATGTTTCCATTGCACATGAAGAGGCCAGTCAATTGGCCATGTGGCTTTATGCCGGACAGATAGTAATCTCATCTGTTTAACGGTTTGAGTGTACCAGATGATTAACTGACAGTGCGGCAGTATGGCTGAATATCCTGTAACCGGATAGAATTTTGGATACAGTGAGGCGCTCAAAGCAAATGGTGATATCCTCTGTACCGCTAACTGCTTCACATCACCACTACTCTAGCTAGGGAAAGCTTGATTTGACAAGGTGGTAAAGTGGAATTAGAACTGCCAAATGTTGCTTTTTGGTCTGTGCTTCCTTAGGTAGCTTATGCTGTGTGGTGTCCAACTCTTCATTTTATCTATCTTTCCAACCATTTCGTCTAAATGAGTAGCATAGACGCTCTTGGACTGCCGGGCAGTCGAGAGGCTAGCGACAGCTAGGTAGTTAAGCCGCAGACTTATTAACCGGAAGGTCCGTGGTTCGAACCCATCATTTTCATTTCGAGTGCTCCTGTTTAGGCGTGGATACACCTAGCGTCATCTGATCCGTCATGCTTTCTCCGAGTGTCATGGCAGCTGGTTACCGAAAGAGTGCTACAGCCGGACGATTATTTTAATCAATATTTTCTACTTGGTCGGTAAGGTTACAGCTTAACACTCGGGACCATGGGGACAGAGAATGCCTAAAGATGCCGACTAAACTAACTTCTGAGAACTTGTCTCTTCCGAGGAAACACCAGTGGAAAATGAAGAAAAGTTTAAGTAGGTTTTCGGCATATTACTCTCGTCAAATGGTATACAGCTACATTTTCCCGCACGTTGTGAAGTTAGCACCCGAAACTAACGTATAATAGGAACTAATGCACCGCATTCCGTAGTTTCCATATACTCCATTACTCACGTAATTCGGTGGACATGTTTTCGACATTGCTTTGTCAGTGCTAATACGATTCTATCATGTTGTTTTATGGCTGAATTGGTGCGTCCAAAGACCGGTATACAATTCTTTCATCCAAAAAATAAGCGGCTTCGGTTATCGTTGTCATTCGAGACTCTAATCCAATTGTTGAATAGTATCGGTTGATTTGAGTCAGTCACATGAACCCAAACGTGTGTAGGCGTACAACTCGATCAATACCAAGTGCCTAACAGCGACTGGTCGGAAGAGACAGGATGCTCAAAACAGCCGGCATGTGGGCTCGTAAATATTTCATGGGTGTGCAAAACACGAGCCTTGTTTTCCCACTCCAAAACTGGTCCTTAGAACCCACAACAAGCAATCTCAAGTACACTAAACTCCACAGCTACGCGTCAAACTAATTGGGCCTAGTAATAGCCGGTCTTTTCTTAGAGGATTTCAACTAGAATTTGCCTCAAAAGCTTTAGATCGTTGTCTGTTCAACAAAAGCTTCAAGGCACCTACTGAACAGCTTCACCGGCTTGCAACACAGCAATCAGAGGGAGCTCGAAGGGCCTTCGTTGATAGATGCATTTTCGGTTCTCCATGGGAGCAACTCATGCATAATTTCTATTTCGTGAATATGAGTTCGTGCGATACTTTGTGTAGTTTTGTTTAGATACTGTTAAGTAAATTTTACAGATTTCTAAGCGCCTAATCTTGCCGTCGTGCCTTATAGTTTTTAATATTACCTCATTGCAAACAACAAACTAGAACATTTCACTCAAGGGTTGGAGCCGTTCTGAGTCTGTATCGTGGCAATTCTATAGGAGGTTTCAATAAGTGTGTGGATATCGGTGGCATTGTATTGATCGCTTGTTGAAATGTTGTAACAAAACCCTTAAAGAGTGTTTTTCGTGTTGTCATGGTGCCGTACACCGTATCCCTCATATTTGCCGATCTATGCACTGGCGTGTGTGCACTCTGTCTTCCAAGTTTACTCCACCAGATTTTAGACAGTGTGTGCACTGGTATTGAAGTGGGTCGAGAAATCCGGATCTGAGATCAACGTCAGGTGAGCAAGCAAGCTTTCCTGAAGTGTCTGCTCTACTTCAAAGGTAGTTAGTTATGTACTGAAATTGCCTAACAGTAGCCTATCTCAGCACCCCAAATACTGGTTTACATGCCTTCACAGTTGATATAATTAAACTTCGAAGTCCAACAATTCGGATTATGCTCACAGCACTAGCCTACCTGGGGGGGGGGCGAATACTACTGTCGGTTCCAAATGAAAACCCCCAGCAATATTTTCAGAAACCGGTTGATTGTCACACATTTTCGGCGGTGTATGCAGAGAAATTACGTGATCCCTACTCATACATATTATCTCGCTGGTCAATTTTAAGGACCGATGTTTCACTGTATCCAGTGGTCATATTTGGTAGGTTTAGTTTTATAGAGTTCTTGATGGAGACGATTTTGTTGCCCCTTATATTCATCAGGTTCGTGAAGTTGACGAAAATCAGTCTTTGAGTGGCTGACCAATGTCTGAAATGTCCATTTGTGTCCACTTTTTTTACCTAGATCCGTTCATCGAAACGATGAATAGCACTTATAGTCATACTAGCCTATTTGCATGAAACCCTCCGTACCAGATGAGCTCTTAGTTTTTCTGAGGTTTCATAGGATCGCTGACTTTACGAAAAACTGTTGCCCAGCGCTATCTCTCGTTTTCAGATAAATCGAATGATGTAACGGGCTGTTCGGTGAATAGTAGTGACATGTACTTTTGCGCCTGGTGAAGGATAAGCAATCACAAGAGTTTTGTCTGGGCGTGGAATCAGTTACTCGTGGCATCGTTATTACTTTAATGAATCCTTTCGTTGGTCCAACAGTGATCTTTTCCACTCTCATGATACTTCGTAACATAGGTCGAAGATGGTTTAGTAACTTCGTGCTGTCCATCTAGCTTCTATTTTAGTGACCTAGAGATATTGGTGGACCAACTAATGCCACATGTCCTGCAATGGATTCTGCCAACTGTTTTTGGACTTCCATGTTTCACAACTGCCACTGCCTTAATTATGTTGCGCACCACTTTGACGATTACAACCATGGAATTGAAAGGGATCCCTGATTCTCCAGCCATTGTCGGCGAATGTATAAATCAAATATGTCCCTCTGCGTGATGTTTGAAACTCTAAACCAGCTTTTATCAATTGGAACAGTAAAATAAGGTTAGACAGGATTGGGGCAGTGAATTGTGATGGAGTTACTCATTTAAAGTCTTATTTGAACGCTATCCGTATAACCATCGTTGCACTGCGTTGTATGACTCCGTTCATCCGAATTTTGGCTTAATCCAATGCATCTGTTGACCAAAAATCTTGAGCATGGGTAAACAACTCGGTAGCCCATAAAACCCTTCACTGTCAGCGTAATTGTACCGTCACAAAAATGCACCCCTACAGACGGCGGTTTAGTACACAGCCACCCCTGTATTTCGTGTTTTTTGTGGCTTTGACTGGATTACGAATCTTATATTCCAAGACTAGCTCTTGACAAAATATTTTTGACTTGCCTGGGTCCCGCCAGAATCGAGACTAAGCGACAACAGCTGATCCACTTTGTGGTGCACTTATAGTGAATTATCCATAGAATAGAAATTGAGATGAAACTGGTATTCAAATATTCACCTCAGAAACTTTTGATGCGGAGATAATTAAGTGAACGCTGTCTTGAATTGAAGAGGAACTCAGATTTCTTTTGACTACAATTTTACGATTGCATTTGGCGGTTTAAGTCTTCTGGTTTTCTGGGTGTCCGAGCTTTGGGATCCCGGACTTCTTCTGAGCAACCGTTTACCCAGTGTTCCTACGCTGGCATCCATTCATAAGACTAGGATATTTGGGGTCCATACAGGAGTCGTACAATAGGCCTTGAATGCCCTCGCATGGACTCACCTTTCGTAATGTCTCTATGGGGACGTGACCTCATTGTGATGCAAGTTTTTTTGCTTCAAACGATGCGGTCTGATTGTCCACAATTCACCTTAAAACCAGACATAGTTTATAGGGGTGTTCGTAAAAGGCGATGAGTTGAAGAGTCTGAGAGCCTCAACCCTTAAAACTTGTGTAATTCAGATTTTTGCTTTACATGCTGTATCCTGTGACACAACACCTTTCACGTTAGCTTGGTGTGCCTCGAAAGGCCTGGAAATATAAGAGAAGATATTGAATTTACAAACGTGTTGTTAATTTGATAAAATAAACCACTGGCTTCGATTCTGAGACACAGGGAGTGTCCGTGACCAGATCGGCTTGTTTAGCTCACCATCTAGAAAGTCACAACAAGGAATTCACCAGTAAAGACTAACATAATGGTGGTATGAGATCTTGAAGTTTGAACAGAGACTCCACCACGCAAGTAGAGTCATTCTATGCCAAAACCCGGATAGGACTATACAGTTGCTTCGTGTATTTAGGAGCTACTCACCACGAGTCCCTGGGTTGACTAGAACCCGCAACTTTGCGACTCTTTTTCAGTCAACTAGGGACGTAAGGTTGTCTGTAATGTTTCTCTGCCTTTCCTTTGTTTTACCTTTTTTCCGGACCATTCCTCAGGGTCGTATGGATAGTTTAGCACCAGTATTTATTATTGGCCTATTGCTGTCGACTGTACCTATGGGCTCACCACATTCGAGCCTTTGAAGGACTACTTAGACCTCGAAAGCCTGGCACTGTGTCGGAATATCCCTAGCTCGGATGGGTATGCATCGTCAGTGCAAAGTAAAGATGTCTGCTCGATTGGCAGCGAAGTGTCTGCAAACCAGTTGTCAAGTTAGGACAGCATATCAACAGTCAACCTTCAAACTTTTTCTGAGACCACAGAACTACAGTCGTATATCCGCTGCAAATCTGCTGCTTTGATTGCCTCCTCAGATAGTTTTGAACGTGTATCTGAAGTGAGTTGATAGGTTGTTGCATGTTACTGTTGAGGAGATTTCGTGCCGTGGATTACTTTCGAATCTCAGTGATGTGGGGAACGAAATGTGGCAAGCTCTTTTACTGATAACGACAGTGTTCCTCTCCTGGATAGCTCTAAGGGAAAACCATCCTTGTTTAGGACTTTGAGGCTTTTGTTAACAGCACAGTCTGTTCCAATGAAGATCATTTGTTCGGAGAAGTCGCTTATGGTGGTCTTTTTAGGGAGGATGGGTTTTGCTTGGCTTCCATGCCACGCATTTTACCCTCGTTGACATCTCGCCCCGCTTTGTCGACTGCAATAGTGACACCACTTTCTACAACACGTTGGTCGTTGTGGTCGTCAGATCGCATCCGTAGGTGTACCGTTTTGCCCTATAATCCCGTCACTGTTAATTAACACAACTTTTCGAATCGGTGGATCTTATTCATTCACGATTTTCTTTGTCCCCTTTTTGCCCTCCAAGGGTGTGTCCTGAACATAGCTCTTAACGGAGAGTTACGTGCCATTCGCCACTTCAACAAAAACATTGGCTTCTGATTTCTATTCAGCTATTTTCTTACTGAGTAGTGACCCATGTCTGCGAATTCCATTTGGAGTAGTTCGGGATTCAGCAACGTCTTACTCCTTGCTAGGGACAACGGTTGTCAGCTCCGGTCTACCAAAGGTTATCTTCAATTTCGTATGAGGAACTTAGGGGTTGCCTCACATAAACCTCGTCATGATGGGCATCCGTCAGGGATGCCCACTCTCTCCATTCCTTTTTAACTTTGTGGTCGATGAAATAATGAGACGAACGCTGGAGGGTCTCCAAAACCCTGGTGTTCAAATAGCCAGTGAAGAAAACCTTGTCGATCTGGAATATGCAGACGACATCGTTCTCATGTTCGAAGAGGAGGAGAAGGCGCAAGTATTCGCTCATTTTTGAAGTGATCTATTTATATGTAATTCCTTAGTTTTCTCTTATCTATTCCTATGAGATGAGTGAGACTAGGGGTTGAGCTATCCACGTTCGGCCGTTAGCCGTGAGATCCGCAACCTCATGTTGTTTTGAGCTGCATATACCGCGAATAAACTAAATACCGACACTAGCTATGTTCGGAATTCGCTCCGTGCACCGCATACCGACTTGTAACCACAGATGAGCGTCGATATCATTCGAAATCCCACGGGTTCTTTGAAGAGGTACAGCACCCCCATCTGCCATATGCGTCCCTCACCCGAGCATCCAACCAGCGGAAAATTCAAGTTATTTAAAAGATCGGGTAGCGGTGGATGAAAGGCCTCAATTATCGCTAACGATATCATCGGCTTAGAACACTGGTGCATCACCCTGTACAGCCATGTACAAACATCGTGATAGGCCAGAACAGATTTTTCTGCATCTCATCAGCTGCTAATGTACGTCGTTGGTAATATGGCTGTCACGATAAGGATTATTAAAACTCTCAATCTATGGTCGATTCTTTTTCCCTTTTTTCAGCCTGTGATATCCGCTATACCCAGTGGCTAAACATGTTAGCAATGAGTAAGTGGGTACCTCCTGTTTTATATTCCATATATGCTTGAAAAGTTCACCACTTGACTTCCTTTCCAGATACGGATCGGTTAACCTCTCAACTAAGTTCAACAGTCTTCGAAACTATTCAAAAATAGGCCTTGTTTCCGTCTTAAAGGTTGACTGTCGATGGAGAAACAATTTTAAAAGCAACACTCTCCTGCAACTGACCATTTTGATCACCATGGGTAACCTTTGGCAGGAGAGGAGTTAATCAGAAATAAGTTCTATAGTTCACCCACAGTGAGTTTTAAAATCTGCTGTTAACATCTTCCACCAATGGTCAACCCTAGCAAAGGTCATGCAGCGCATAATCTATTCTATCTCATTCTTACTGAATACGGTACTGTTATTCTAATCCTTAGGTTGCTGTTCATCGATTATGTACACAAAGTATCAGGCCATGACTGTTTGAGGTACAATGGAGTTTCTCTATGGTGCCGTCTCCACACAAGAGTACAGCTTCGAGGGATTGTAATGTAAATCTTGTCTTAGTGCGATAGTCTGCGGATCGAGACAATAAAACCTTCATTCAGCAGATCAGTCTTTTTGTAGACATGCCGTTACGTTTTGTCTGACCGGTGTAGTGAATAAATCCGTATACCTGACTCAGATGAGGATACTACTGAATTTGAACAATGTACAGCAATCCACTTAACAGACATCATCACTGTGGAAAAAGTTCGGAAAACCCCACTAGAAAACCGTCGTTTTACAAACTTCAGATACAGTTGTACTGGGAGCTTTCGGTTGTGTCCGGATTTGTTCGTTATCTCACTGAATATTTTCACTCCGTTGTGAGTGTTTTGTTCATCCGAGAGTAACTCAAGAGTTGAGGCAATCTAAATCTGCTTTGATTGGACACAATTATTGTAGATGTTTAGCACTCAATGACACTGGTGTGCATAGTGCGATATTCTAGCTTAAAGCTTCATGTTCTGACGACCTCAAGCTGCTTGGTTTATGGTTGTGTAATTTTAGCCGTCCATCTACGGAAAACTTTCCCCCAGAATTAACCGTGGGATGTATTTCAGCAGGGTTCTCTTACCAGTAAAAGCCAACTCGTAGAAGCGACAACTTTTAGTCAGCACTGAGAGACCTAATGCATATTTGTGCCCTCTTAAAGAGGTCACCGTATTGAAAGGGCCCCATCGGATCCTTTTCTACAGCAGTCTTTCTACAGAGAGAAACTGTTCCCCGACAAATTGTTTACTGTTTAAAGGCAAGGACCTACTAAAGGTGATCTTTTTTACTGCTTGTTCTGTTGCAGGGATATTTAACCAGTTAACGAACTCATAGGACCAGCCACAAGTAGTCTTACCGGAATGATAGTTTCTACAGAGAGCAGAAATCGCAGAAGCTTTATGCCACATGGATGGAAATTGTGTTATAAGACTCCCAATCACTTTGAGGAAACATCTTTTCACCTAATTTAGTTGTTCAGGCACGTAACTCGTTTAAAACACAAAAGTCCGGTGCAAAAATCTTGTATCACTGTTTTTGTCAAGATAGTACTTTGCTCCACAAGGACGCAGATTGGGGAGTTTGTTATTCAGAAGTAATCAGTTTCTAGGCTAGCCTCACAGAAACCGATTGGAATGATTGCAATTCAAGGAATCTTCTCTCTTGGGGGGAGGGGCTTCTGTTTGTTTACCGTCGTGATATGCGTAACTAACTGGCAGTCGGGTTCTCATTCCGATATCTTCAAGCTCGGCATTGTGACGCTATCATTCAGGACACTGTTCACACGCATCTTTGATGACTGAAGTGGAACCACGTAATTCTCAACAGTGTATGAACAAATTGCTTATTACTGATGAACTTGTTCTCTTAGCGAAATGGGTGCATTAGTTGCCAGCAATAAGTGTTTTGATGCATACACCCGTGGTTAGTGATAACTTGTTTGCTCACACAAGTAGGTTGGGATGAGAACTCTATGTTTGTAGAGTATCTCAGTGTATTGGAAACCAGTGAACAATAATTACGTGTTGGCATTAACCTATCTGTTCCGTCTGAAGCTGACTGGATTATCCAAACACATCTACTGATGTGTTTGGAGTGCTTTTATAGTTTATCAGGGTTTTGGCCTACCATTCACCTATTGTGTTCACAATGAGGTGTGATGAGCTGAAAAGTTTGAGCTGGACTACATAAAAATCCAGAACTTTTACTGTGAATGGAGCTGGTATGTTAATTGGCTGATCGTTGAAGTTTACTGCAACTGTTGTGTTAAATTTGACTTTGTCCGTATGTACATCACTAGGTTTTCACATCCTGCTGGACCCTTAGAATGGGCTTTGGTTTGTCTATTAAATTAGGAAGGTCGGAGAAGGCATATCTGCTCTCTTCATGACAGTAACCGCCCATTTGAGGGGTCCGCTTTCTAGGGACTTTTGTAGTAATTAATGTTCAGGTAGCTAGAATCTCGTTTATAAACTCAGAACACGTTGGGAACAGACTTGGTTGTATTGTATTTTGACTAGTCATGTGTGCTCTAGGTGTCATAAGTTAGAAAAACCGAAAACGCGATTCCGACACCCCCGCTTTTGTTGGGAGAGCCATTGCACCGCGGAGGTACCTATAGTTGTCCTCATTGGGCGTTAAGATTGTTTATTAAGGCACACAAATTTCAAGTGGCCTTAATCTGTAAGAATTGTCTGGATGGGGAGTTTTTGGAAAAGATTACCATATTTTTGAGATTGTCATAGCGGGAGGATTAGCTCTCCCAGTAACTTGCCAAACGTTTGGCAATGTTCATTGTTAGTCATCGATTAACTTTGATGAGGTTCCTTGAGTATCTTGTTTTTCTCATCAGTCTCAGTAGATTATGTGACAGGCTTTACACTGAGCTGGTTGGTTCAATGTTTTCACCCGTGTCTATCGATTTTTTGCTTTAGATCAATGTGACGTGCGAGAATTGTCTGCTATCACGTGGCACAATTGGTGAAGACCAGCTGATTTGTGCTGTACGTGTTGACGCTCACCTTAACTGTTAGAACTATTTCCCATTCTTTAGTCATGATCAACACGTTGTACTTTCTGCCCCTAGTTTGATGGCTTATTTATGCTCAAGTAGTCAGGTACAGATGAGCGTAAATCTTTGCTCGTCACCACATCTTTTCGCCTGAAAAGGTGACGACGTTTATCACACGCCTTTTTGGGTGAGTTCTACCAGCTGAAGAGCCATCTGGTTGACACCCACCTTCAATCAAAGCGTTAACGATAATGATAGGTGTATTTTTCAGATATCCTTGTGTTACACCCAGGGCAACATTGTGCAATGCCTTGAATGGAAACTACTGCCTTCCCATCGTTTTGCTTCACTGTCCTGAATTCTAGCAGACATTTTCCAGTGGTTGTCGTTTAGACTCCAGGGTTTACTTTTTTGTTTCGAACACTTTTTTTCTTTCTTTCTTCTTTGAGGTCCACTGTATTGAGCCTGATTGTTGCAGAGGTTCACTGTTGTTCGACCCCACTTGCTCCGTACCACCGTTCTGGTGGTTCATCTTTGGTTTTGATTGATGGACTGGACTGAGAGACTGGACCTTATCGTGGTGTGGCGGTTTGTGTACCTCGGCGACCCATTGAGCTATACTGGGGGGTGTCCGCGCGACACTCACAGAGTCTCTCATACCAGGTTGGTCAATGGTTAGAGGTC